ATCCGTGCATTTGAATCATTTGTTAATTAACTCTTTGTGAACCATATGTATGATTGTCTACGTCCATTAATTGATAGTTGTTGAATATTTCCTTATATAAAGTCTCATTTTAAAATGTTTATGGATTGTGAAAATTCCCGATAGCTGAAGATAATCTTTCTTACGAAATGAATTCAGAGCTGGAAATATTGAAGGCCAGTATGGATTAAATAATCTGAATATGCATAACAGAGAATTACTAAATAAGAAGGGGATATTTTCAAATCATGTAGACTCAAACTATTCCAAGATTAGAATCCAAATAGGTAGTACAAAGTGATAAGACGTCTTGTATACATCCTCATCAGCGGTAACTAATCACAGTATGATCGATCTATGTCATGGCTTATGTTTCAAAGGGGGGCCGTCACTTTGTATATCGGAAGTAACTGTATCAGAATTTGGGGTAGGACAGAAATCTGCACAGAGTTGAGAACAAATCTCTTTTATCAGACCTGCGCTCATTAGCCATCCAAAGAGACTTTCTTCTGTACCCAGATTCCGAACATATGGTTTCAAGTCATATGTTTGAACCACAATATCTAGCCGACACGTTTTACTGAGATCATTTAACTGGTGATTGAATTCATCGTTGATCGTGTCCGAGCTCAAATGGGTTGGTAAGTAAGCGGAAATTAGAGTCTCATAATTTAAACGACTGTTAATGGTGATCAAATTGGCTTATATCCGCTCTTGCGCTTAATGTGATACTTACAATTACTGTACAAATTATTCATTCGTAATTTTTACTAGATCTATTTCAGTTAGCATTATCTTCATTTTTGTTGGCTATGGTCAATCAATTTATTGCTCAAGAAAGACAAATTTGTCATATTGTTGTAAACAATATCAAATATTATGCCGGCTCAGTGGTCTAATGCTTAAGTGCTTGCATGTGAGACTGATAGGTGCTGGGTTCGAAACTCTCAAGGCAAGATCGTGGATACACACTGCTGCGGAGTCTCACAGTACGACCAAACGGCCATCCAGTGCTTCTAGGTTTTCCATGGTGGTCTCGGTTCAACTGACTCATGTTCTCAACTATTAAAATTATAAATATTATTTATTGAATAGAATCATTTAAGTGTATCTATTCTAAAATTTCGAAAAGTAAATTACATATGGATTAAATTTATCTCATAAATGTAATAAAAATAATTCATTATTACCATTTCTGTAATCAGATTTTTAATTGAATGATGCCTTTTTTGGTTTATAACCAGTATGAACTTGATTCATACTGACATGGCTCAGAATCGATCACAATGGCGTCGGTGTATACACTCCCTGTCTTCCCTTAAACTAAAAGACTAAAATCACTTCATTCTTTCTGTCTACGAACTAATTCTTTCTTCCTATACTATATCCTTATTGCAACCTTTGACCTAACCACTCCTATGAATCCGGTGTTCATCTTGCTGTGCTAATGAGGTATGGCAACCTGGACCGATGCACATATGTGCCTGGTCCTACGTTGTAGCTGACTGACTGACGTTCATAAGATAATATCAATATAATTAAGAAGGTATTTGAATGTTTATAAGAACTTTTTTTTCAACTTATCAATCAAACGATATAGTGCTAGACTTAAATTCATTGTTTCTTTATGGTTCAAGAACAGTACATCAAATATAAAAGGGGTAGAAGTGTATAATACAACAATGTTGTTATGTACTTGACCAATTACAAAAGAGATCCTGTAATCATGTTCAAGTAACTAAATTATAAAGTTATTGAAATGATGGAGAATGTCAATAATTCATAGGTAGGTACTTGGTGGTATTATACTCTTTAAAACTATATCATCCTTCTGGAGAATAACATCGGCACCTAGAAGTAGATTTCTTTTTACTTTCAATATTTTATCCTGTTCTTCCATATATGATCAGAAAAATAACTTAGTTGTGAAATTTGAATGTCTTCAACTTGGTATAAATGTTAACACGAAGACGAATAAACTTGTACTCAATAGTGATGAGCAACAATTCGTGTCAACATAAAGACACTATGAAACATTTTTTAAGAATGCTCATTAGCAAGTATTTATAAATAGCTGTCTACGCAAGATACTCAACATCCATTGGACGGATACCATCAGCAACAGCCTTTTGTGGCAGAGAACTAACCAACTTCCAGCTGAAGAGGAAATTAGGAAAAGACGATGGAAATGGATAGGACATACACTACGCAAATCGTCAAACTATACCATGAGACAAGCCCTAACTTGGAATCCTGAAGGAAGGCGGAAAATAGGAAGGCCAAAGAACACATTACGTCGGGAAATAAAAGCAGATATGGAAAGGATGAATAAGAACTGGAAGGAGCTGTAAAGTATTGCCCAGGACAGGGTTGGATAGCGAATGCTGGTGAGCGGTCGATGTTCCTTCACGAGGAGTAACAGGCGTAAGTCATTAGCCAATAGAGATTTTTCAACTATAAAGAACGGGGATATAAGAGACCTAAAAATGATTCATTTTGGTAACGTTTTTGATGAGAAAACCAATTTTTCATATTGTTTCACTGAAATTAATAGGAAGCTCACAATATTCCCATTATTACTCGTGTAATTGTGAAAGAAACATCAGTTCTTAACTTGAAATTCTGTAAAGTAAGATTTCTAAAATAGTTTACAATCTAAATAGAGACGTTTGCCTTAATCTGTATCTTTTAAAATCACTTTGTGAAGGAATTCTAAGCACATAATATTTATCTTAAACTAGTAACAATCAATTCCAGTTTAACCAATTAACGATATTTTCAAACTTTAACCAAAAACGTTTCGAAGTGTTTACACTTGATATACACCTAAGTTCATAATCCACTGATAATTGAACATTTTAAACTACAGGTTTAATGAAAACAGACAATATTCTGATGTGTAATTGAATGATAGTCTACTGTTGCCAACCAAATGCTGCATTGCGATCTTATCCTCCGTTTCTAGTCTAGTTGACCTTTTATTTTTATATATAAATGTTCTTAACAAGTAAATAATGTATGATCAGATTGTTCGAAATGTATTGCGCTAATATATCACATAGTTCTTTGTCGTCTTATTACGCTATTGAAATTTATCAAAGGGACTAATTGCTTCAAATTTCTTAAAAGAAGACTCCTTACACATCATATTAAAAGGTTCGATGAACTTGTCAACCTTAAGTGCAAAATTGTATCGGAACGAGTGAAACTGAGTGTTTATAAATCTTGTTTGTCGAGTTACATATTCCCAAATCAACTTTATAGGAATTGATGTTCTAGTAAAACACAACCGAATATTTCAAATCTCGTTCGATTGTCGAAATCTTATGCACATAATTGCTAAGATAGACTGATCACTTTAATGGAATTACACACTCAAGCATTGCCTATATTAACAGGAGTATCTATAGTCTGCCATATTAAATTTATCAACTATTGCAGTACGGTCATTTTCAAAACAAAGGAAAGGATAGGACAAAAGCTTCAACAATCTTGCAGTAATATTAATAAGTATATCACTAATTTATCTTCCATTGTATTATCCGTTAGGGAAAAGGAAACGCCTTCTCTTGGTTTTAATTTCTCTATCCCTGTAACGTAAATGTCTGAATTGGAGATAAATGGTGAATTTGAAAATCTTTATGATCAACTTGTAGTGAACAGAACACGGGTAGAGACAATCGAATGTATTTAAAACAAAATTACAGGACCTGTTAATAAAATCTAACAATCAAACAGTAAATACGTAATTTGCAAAATGTCCATCATTTGTCTCATAATAACTCAGACTTCATTGTTCTTGCATTCTCATACAAATTGCATTCTGTTCCCATTCTTCACTGTTCGATCCTCTTGTCTCTCAGCTGCCAGACCTTCTGTTCACGACTAACATCATCTACAACTTATGTCAATATAAGTAGCACACACCACAAACTAATTACGCTAACCCCTACCTCTTTTAATAATCAAAGTTGGGGTAAAACTAAATTGGTGGATATAATGTACCAATTTCTTAATCGTGAACCAAAGCAGAGAAGCATATTAACTTCTCAGCACTTTAAATCACTAAAAGAAGTACGAAAAAACCCTGATATTGGCTTGTTGAAACCTGATAAAAGATCAGGCGGTGTTATCATAAACAAATGTGAATATAAAAATAAGATATTATCCAACCTCAGTGATGACAGTAAATTTATGCCTGATGCCGAATTTGGAGGTATTAGCAAACTAGAGGTAAGAATAAATTCAAACCTAGTAAAACTGCTGCACACGAATATCATTGGTAGAAAGGAATTTAAATTTCTCAAACGTATTGTTTCTAAGTATCCTTATTTACATGGATTACCTACAATTCACCAACCAAACATTCGTTTACTCTCAATTTTATCACTGTATCGATCACCTACAAATAACCCAGCTAAATTACTGGATCCTATCCGAACACGATTATGTAAGTATTTTGTGAAAGAATCTTTCTAATTGGTCGAACATTTAGGTGATATTAATATCAAGGGAAAGATAATGTGTTCGTTTAACGTGAATTCCTTGTTTACAAATGTACCTTTGAAAATTACTATTGATATATTATGTGACCACATATCTTTAAACAAGCTTAAAATACCTGTTCCTTTAAAAATTCTTAAAGATTTACTATTATGATTTACTGACTAAGTCCAGTTCATATTTGAAGGTGAATATTTCGCCAGATCGATGGGGTTGCTATTGGTAGTCCGTTAGGACCATTATTAGTTAATATGTTCATGGCACATGCTGAGAATCCAGCTGAAGATCTAATCGAAAACATGTCACTTTATAAGATATATGTGGACGATATATTAGTTATCTGGGAAAGAAAGGAGGATATGAATTGTTTATTGAATAAACTTAAAACTCTCCAAAACCACATCAGTCTCTCATGCAAAAAGGAGAAGAACAACCAGCTTCCCCTCCTAGATATACTTCTAAGTAGACGAGAAGATGGCTCAATCAAAAGATGATGATGATGATGATGATGATGATGATGATGATGATGATGATGATGATGATGATGATGATGATGATGATGATGATGATGATGATGATGATGATGATGATGATGATGATGATGATGATGATGATGATGATGATGATGATGATGATGATGATGATGATGATGATGATGATGATGATGATGATGATGATGATGATGATGATGATGATGATGATGATGATGATGATGATGATGATGATGATGATGATGATGATGATGATGATGATGATGATGATGATGATGATGATGATGATGATGATGATGATGATGATGATGATGATGATGATGATGATGATGATGATGATGATGATGATGATGATGATGATGATGATGATGATGATGATGATGATGATGATGATGATGATGATGATGATGATGATGATGATGATGATGATGATGATGATGATGATGATGATGATGATGATGATGATGATGATGATGATGATGATGATGATGATGATGATGATGATGATGATGATGATGATGATGATGATGATGATGATGATGATGATGATGATGATGATGATGATGATGATGATGATGATGATGATGATGATGATGATGATGATGATGATGATGATGATGATGATGATGATGATGATGATGATGATGATGATGATGATGATGATGATGATGATGATGATGATGATGATGATGATGATGATGATGATGATGATGATGATGATGATGATGATGATGATGATGATGATGATGATGATGATGATGATGATGATGATGATGATGATGATGATGATGATGATGATGATGATGATGATGATGATGATGATGATGATGATGATGATGATGATGATGATGATGATGATGATGATGATGATGATGATGATGATGATGATGATGATGATGATGATGATGATGATGATGATGATGATGATGATGATGATGATGATGATGATGATGATGATGATGATGATGATGATGATGATGATGATGATGATGATGATGATGATGATGATGATGATGATGATGATGATGATGATGATGATGATGATGATGATGATGATGATGATGATGATGATGATGATGATGATGATGATGATGATGATGATGATGATGATGATGATGATGATGATGATGATGATGATGATGATGATGATGATGATGATGATGATGATGATGATGATGATGATGATGATGATGATGATGATGATGATGATGATGATGATGATGATGATGATGATGATGATGATGATGATGATGATGATGATGATGATGATGATGATGATGATGATGATGATGATGATGATGATGATGATGATGATGATGATGATGATGATGATGATGATGATCTTGATGATGTTAGATTGTTAAACAAAACAATAATTGAAAATGTCTATCAACTTATATCCATAAATAGATGTGAAGTTCATGGTACAGTGTAACCTACTATAGCCTTGGCCGAAAAAAAGCCTGTCTACATCACCTTACCATTTCGAGGTGATTCAAAATTGATTTTTGTTGGAACAAAGTCTCAAATCAGCAATTAGCAAGAAGTATTACGCAGCAATGTTCACCATCAAGGAAGGAACAAGGTCCATACTTCATCGAAAACCTAAACGACATGAAAATGATTGCGTCACATCCCACTGTGTTTACCAATTTAAATGCATGTGGCCACACACACATGGGGAGGAGTATTCGTGATCTTCAAATCAGGGTGTGTGAACATGTACCTAAATTGCTGCAGAAACAAATAAAATCAAATGACTCAATAATAGTAGAGGATAAACATCCATCATCCGCTATTGATAAACACATAGTTGAAACAGGTCACAAGATTACTCTGAGCAACGATGGATAGTGGCTAGGACTGGAATTCAGGACGCGCGTTTCGTCTTATTTGAGACTCGTCAGCCGGACGTACCTGCATCCCAAGTATATGTGTGGTCAGATTGTTCGAAATGTATTACGCTGATATATCATATAGTTCTGATACTCTTCGTCTTCTTATTACACTGTCGAAATTTATCAAAGGGACTAATTGCTACAAATCTGAATAAAGATTATTTTGTCATTTAATATTTGGAATTCAATCAACAGAAACTCATTATCACAAACATAAGACCAATTCTTTTGAAAGTCCTATATATTGTATGAGCGACTAAAAGAAAACCACTAATATCCCGAAATCTCACAATGACTGATGCATAACCTGCATGAAGTACAATATGGCGAATGAGGTTAACTGCGTAACGTCGTTAAATACTTCGTAGGACTATTTATTGTTTCACTGAAGTTTACTTAAAAGTAATTCTTGCTTACAACCGATTTAAAATATTAAGTCACGGAAAATTTTAATAGTTGAATTTATGAGTCAATCCAAGCTAGAACATCGTTGAAAACCTGAAGGCACTAAACGACCCTTTCGTCCTAGTATGGGACTACTCAGAAGTGTTCATCCATGATCTCCAACAAAAGGGATTCAAACACAGAACCTTCAGTCTCGAGTGCGAACGCCTAACTTCTGGACCACTGAGCTGGCATTCAACGGTGTTAATGTCTAACTTCGATCGACCCATGGTCTTGCGCAAAGCTTGATCTATTGTGTGAAGTGGATAACTGTCTCCATGAGACAGGGATTAGACTGCACTGATCACGGCTTTTCACTAGAACTCCAAGAAATCTATGTTGAACCTATTCACTAGTTGACAAATGATTATTATTAGAATGAGGATGTGTGGAGATTGTGGAAATTTTAGTGCTTAAATTCGTGAGTCGATCTAAGCTAGAACGCCGCATATTTTTAAAACCCTCAATAAACTATTATGTTGAAAAATTCAAACCATTCATTACTTAACATTTTTCCCTGTTTAAATTGACACCATGCTGAGTTTAAATGAATAAGTTATAAGCAAAGTAGATGAAATCGAATAATAGTTAGAAATAAAAGTCAGAAAAAATGTTTTATCCACTTCGGAGCTCGTCAGCTGTATGTATCTGTATCTGTATCAATATTCTAACTAAGTAGATTGCACTTCAAACATCAGTGCATCATATACTAGCTTGTGCAACGGATATGAATTTTTAAAGACACATACTTCCCAGTTCTTGGTATTAAAAACAAAAACTGATCAGCCTCCATCACCATACATGCAACATGATTGGATTGACTCGATACTGCCAATCAGACACATAACGTTTTATTAAAATATAGTATATAGACTAAGTAGTTCAGTGGATAACGTACAGGCCGAGTTTCAATCCAAACGTCACCACTGGATATCCAGGTATATACAGCTGGACCACACTGCGGGGCACTATCAAACTTTATTAACAACTTGTGACTAGAATCCCATATAGAGGCGATCAGCACAGGATGCAGCTATGCTAAAGCAGATAGAAATTACAAAACTGTACTCGCATGATAAATTTTATAAATAGGATAAATTACAAATTCATTTCTATTTCATTTGATATAATGAACAGAATCATTTCAAGATAGAGAAAAGTGGTGTTTTACCAGTTACTGTTCAGTGGCAAACGAGCGTCACTGATTCGCCTCTACGGTAAATCTTCTAAGGTTTAAATCACTTAGTAGAAATAATTTTGATAGTATGGTTTCATATTTATGTAATGATATTTCACAGCAAACAATGTGTAGATCCAACCAATTTCTATTGTTGAAGTGATATTGATTATCTATAAAATCTATGAATAATTTTATGGATTACTTACTTACTTACTTACGCCTGTTACTCCTAATGGAGCATAGGCCACCGACCATCATTCTCCAACCCACTCTGTCCCCCATCTTCTTTTCCAGTTCCATACAATTCTTGTTCATTTTTCTCATGTCTATCTCCATTTTCCGGCGTAATGTGTTCTTCGGTTTTCCACTTCTCCTTTGGTCTTAACGATTCCATGTGAAGGCTTGTCTTGTGACGCAGTTGGGTGCTTTCCTCAATGTGTATCCTATCCACTTCCAGTGATTCTTCCTAATTTCTTCCTTCGCTGGGATCTGATTTGTTCTTTCCCACAGTTGGTTGTTACTAACAGTGTCCGGCCAACGGATCCGAAGTATTTTGCTTAGACAGCTGTTAATAAACATCTGTATCTTCTGGATGATGGCTTTCGTAGTTCTCCAAGTTTCTGCCCCATACAGTAGGACTGTCTTGACATTTGTATTGAAAATCCTGACCTTGGTGTTGGTAGACAGTTGTTTTGAGTTGCAGATATTCCTCAGTTGTAAATATGCTGCTCTTGCTTTGCCGATCCGCACCTTCACATCTGCATCAGATCCACCCTGTTCATCAATGATGCTGCCCAGATATGTAAAGGTTTTTGCATTTTCCACATCTTCTCCGTCAAGTGTGATTTGATTGGTGCATACTGTGTTGTATCGGAGAATCTTGCTTTTCCCTTTGTGTATATTGAGACCTACAGCTGCTGAAGCTGTTGCTACACTGGTCGTCTTCTCCTGCATTTGTTGTTGCGTTTGGGATTATTCACTCTAAATACTCTGATCATGCCAATGTTTGTCAAAACATTTTGTATAAAAAGGCAAATAGACCAAATAAGGAAATAAATGATATGTATTTAATATAAAGAAAAGGATGGGATAAAATTAACAAGTTTTTTAATATTACCCTTGGTATAAAAAAGGGAAGTAAAGATTATGGATAGTAAGTTCAAGGTTGAAATAACTTTCTTGTAGCTAAGACTTATAAACCTATGACTGACCCAGACAATTTCTATATAGTGAAATAGAAGTTGTCTTAAGGTCATTTCTATGCTTATATTGATTACATTTTTTGCGTAATCTCTATATTGTAATTTCACTTATGATGCTATTTTGGAGTATTAAGTTTATCATCTTAAAATATGTAAGATTAATCAAGTTGTATGTTTAAGGTGAATTCGACATTTTTACCTTGGCAAATGACGATATAATTAAATTACGTAAAATGTACTGCACATTGACACTAAATTATTAAAATCAATCTGATTGTCTAATAAGATTCCAAAATGTTATAATAAGTGGCAAAACAAAAATTAAATATTATGAATTTAGTATATCTATGACAAACATACCATTACACATAAAATAATCTTGTTCGTGTTATTAACTACCTTCTACAATCTATATAGATTCTTCAAATTTCTATCAAGAATTCTTGACCCTCCAAGTTCTGAAGTCAAACATATACTGTCCGTGGGAAGGAACTGATTAAAGCTGAAAATGTTGTCTATTTGAGTTATAAAACACCAGTTTAAACGGAACACATTGGCTGCAACACTTGAAAGTGCTTGGTTCAGTTTCATGTGTAGTGTGGCGTTGAGTAGCGGTTGACTATGATCACCAATACGAGAAGGTTGCGTACCAGATATCAGAAGGCGATTTACTGTTACCAAGAGGTACGACAGAAACTTGGGCACCAGTATCTACTAGGTACCTAGCGTTCGTGTGATAGTCGTGCACATACAACAAACGGCCAACCTGGGGTGAAGGGCCGGCGAGTACGGCGGCTTTTACTCGCCGGTCTTGGAGTTTCCCGCTTTGTATGAGCACGGAGCTCTACAACGGCAGGTACCGGACCCGTAGGAGCGGTGAAACCAGCACCAACCTCCACTCGCTTCCGAAGCCACCTTTTGGCGTGGCTTGAAAGATGCCCTCGTTGGGTGAGTGGTTACGGCTTTCCGAGAGCGTGATCTGGCTCGAGGGACGTAGAGTTCGGGTATGTCGCAACGGTCTCGGAAGTTAAGACGTGTACGAACACGACCTCCCCTATCACCTTGAGCCGGTAAGTGATAAGCGTTGATATCCACATTCGAACGTGACGTTGAGACGACTATGTAGTTGCCACGGTTGCCAGTCCTTGCCAATATTTTGTCTGTTATGACGGCCATCTGGTGGAGCGATGCGTCCTCGGGCAGGGCCCTGATCGTTGGTTAGATGTTTGCTGGTAACTATTAGAGCCACAATTCCTTAACAATTTCAGAATCAGATGCCGTAGGTCCTGCAATAGATTTCAGGGGCGTAAGGTGATGGCTTGGCTTAGCATCATCCAGAGGGTGACGTGCTAATAATGTCCTCAACCGTTCCTCCCTCGATGGAAGGAAATGTCTGAGGATCACCTCCTTGAGATGATCATAAACGTTAGGCACATTGGGGTTGAGGACGAGCTCATGGACAGCGACTATGTGATCCCCTGACAAAGATTCCAAAGCGTAGGCATATTTTTGCCGTTGTATCGTGATGAGGCGGGTCTCGAACTGAGACTCCAATGTAGCGAACCAAACTTCCGAGTCATGGGGGATAAAAGATACGGGTCGAAAATGGATAACATGTACGCCAGAGTCTATTATATTAAAACCACTCTTATTGTTATGCGTCATTTCAAGTTGTTGTCAGAATATCAGATATTGAAAAATATCAATATGAAAATGTGCATCAGACGTGGATAGATAAGTGATAGACTCACCGCGATTGGCTTCTTTGGAAGGTTTGGCTTCGATTGAAAAGTGTTCGTATTTTTGGGTTCACCAATTGTAGTGTGGCGTCGAGTCGCGGTTGACTATGATCACCAATACGAGAAGGTTGAGTACCAGATATCAGAAGGCGATTGGAGGTTGTAGCTAGATATATTTTTTTGGCGATCTCGTGGTATCGAAAGAATACCGAGATCGCGCCATAGGAGTACAAGCGGAATCACTGAGCAAACGTAAGTGCTTGCAAAGTTACAGTCGACGGAAGGGAGAGGGTCTTTATTACAGTTAAACAAAGAAGCACAGTTAAGCAATCACTGGTACAATTAGTTATAATAATAAGTGTTTAAATCAAACCAATCTCGTTCTCTCGATGAAATAGTTCACTACCCATGTAAAACGTTTTACTCATGTTCTACTGAGTCTTACCAATCCATTACTTAAATCTTAATCTTTAATCTGTAATGTTTTTTTTTCAATTCAGTATTAAACATATTGACTATAAGTTACTTCACACTGATATATTAAATCAAACACCAATGATTTATAAATTTTATCAGTAGCTTCTTACCGAAATAAATGTGAATATACATTTACAAGCAGAGACTGGTCGGTTGCGATCCATAATAATAATAACAAGAAAATGCAAAACCTTACAAATTCATATCCGTTGCACAAATTAGTAACTATCTGGATTCAGTAACTCAGTCGACATTGGGTTATTGTTTGAAGAAAAACGCACTTAGTTAAAGTCTTACATTAACAATATCTATATGTGATGCATAATACTTATTCTCATGGACATAAGCAGTATGTATCAGCAAACAGATTTGAAATGTCTGCCAGCAGAAGATTTAGAAGACTGAATTGAAGAGAGCAGGAAGGGAGATACAAAGCAATTGTTATAACAAAGAAATTGAAAGAATCGTGAAGTATGTAAAGTAAATCTGGAGGATGACGTGCAAATAATTTATTTAATGTATGGTTTTCATATTATATGAAGTCGCTCCGCAATTTTAAGTTAAACTAAGTTTGTCTTTCCTCACCTGAGTTCTCATTCTCTACACATGTACATACAGATCGCGAGACATCAATTATATCAGAAATAATGCCTTTGACGCCACTACTAACCACCATCTAACATTAGCATACAATTATTGCCTAAAACAAAATTCTAGGAGCAGCTTCAATATCTTTTTGGTTATGGTAATAGTATAGTTGATGTTACTCACAAGATTGTTTGTATATAGTGTGCAGCGGAACGTAGTGTTGAAGTTGCAACAATTGTGAAGTTTCAGTCCATCGAAAGCATGTAGTTGGCAAAGCACTTGGAGGTCAGACGAGAAGACAATTCAGATTATAGAACACACCGAAAGATGCAAATGGACGACTGGAGGCTATATATATCTATTGATTCGTAAATGTTACTAAAGATTCGGAATAGTTATAGATGAAGAGAGTATAAATTCATAAGATATCTATCCTTCTAAATGGCTACACGTGATATACACAACATACGAAGTGAAACTAATTTAAAATGCAAATAACAGAATTCAGATAAAATTTGATGAACACGTTTCAAATGACTTAACATCAAAGCGCTGATTAATCATAACACATGAATATGTTAATCCTAAAATAATGATATACTTAAGA